TTAATGTAGAGAAACACCCTAATTTTGCTATAACCTGAATATTTTTCAAAATATGAGAAAAGGCATGCTTAGAAAGGAAATGGTGAAAATTTAAAATTTGTTTAGAAGTGAAATTTAAAAAATATGTTTTATTGTGATTTGGGTGAAAGTTTGCAGAACAAATTCATTCTCCATACAGCAGTTCATATACATTTTATTCAATGGCATTGACTGCAATCCCCACAATATAACAGCTCTCTTCCAACTTCCTCCCTCTTGTTACCTTTTCCCCGTGTCCTTCTTTCCTATGCATTCCTGCCACTCAAACTATCTCCCTGTGCAAACACAGCCCTTGTGAAGGAATGTATCTACCTGATGTAAATGTTCACCCTATATACCTGTCTAGTGTTTGGCTGGAAGCCACAGGAGTGAGTTCAGTTCCAGACCTGGAGTTTAACTAGGGTCCATAGTCTCGGGGGTCTCACCAAGCTCTATCAGACCAGTAAACCTGGTCTTTTCAAAAGCAAAAATTGAAAGAAATCATTCTATATTCAGAGCTTAACTTTATTCCAAAGCTATAGCCTCAAATAGCTATTTTAAAAATAATATCACATTCTCCCATTTTCCCAATGTTTACCTGAAATTTTAACAGAAATCGAAGTGACAGACAATAAGACATCTACATGAATAGAATTATTTTTTAATAGGGGAATCAAATAATATCTAAATCCAGAGTCAAGAGGAACCTTATGGAAAAGGAGAGTTATTATAATGTTTTCCACCTAGCCTATTTCTGGGCTTTTTCATAGCATAACTAGCAACACCTGATTATGTTTTTGAACTTTTAGTGTATCACAGGAATATTTTATAGCACTTTACAATTACTAGTTCATAATTACCCCTTAATCAAAGGCAAGTTCACATGACATGAGGACCAGGAAAAGAAAAGGAGGCAGATTTTCTCCTTCATCCCCCAAACTGCCTCTTTCCGAGTATGGTACATCAAAAGGTCCCTAAGGAATTCCTAAGCGTGAAGAGCCTTTAAAACCACTTAAACTTGGCAGCTATATAACTGAAAAAGATAGCTTCAGACTCTTCAGTATAAGGAATGGAGGCCTGAAATTTACTTTTTTTTCATTCATGCATTCACTCCACGAGAACATATTGTGTTAGGCTCTTTTCTAAGCACTGGGGATACTAAGATGAAGAAGGAAAGCCTACTCTCTCCTTCCAAAGAATTCCACTCCCAGGATGTTTCTTCTCCTTCTCTGTGTAAGAACCAAGTTTCAACAATGTTTTCTGACCACTTTCTTGCTAGCCTCCATAGACCCTTGATCAGACTCCTTCATATCCAAAGACTTGACAGCCAGAGCTCATGGTCCTTTTTCCAAATTCTGGTCCTCATTCTGGATGACTTCAACATGGACATGGACAACTCATGCATCACTCTAGCCTCTCAATTCCTTAACTTTCTTTTTCATTATCCATCGAAATTTACATCTCCTCCATCTTTGCCACAGACTCAAATGGTCACCTGGAACTGCTGTACTCTTGAAATAAAATTCAGCTATGCTACTTTCTGACCACAACCTCTGGCCCTCCAGACTCCACTTTATCACTTCATCTACCTCCTTGAACAACTAGCCTCTTGATTCCTCCACCTCCTAATTATCAATTTCCACCTGAATTCATGCCTTCCCCTGCCCAATAGGGACTGGACAGATGTCACTTCAACCACTTTCTTGTCCAAATCCTTACTTCTCTTTCCTGGATGCGACTTGAGTCTCACCACCTGGCAGAAGCCCTACCCGGGGGCAAAACCAGAGTATCCTGTCTACTCAGTATGCCTGGAGACATATTGCCAATCTGATGATTGGCAATGCTTTATAAAAAAAAAAAAAAAAAACCACCCAGTTGGGTCCCAGGCTCCAAAATGCTATTTCTCGACCTCAACTTTATCACCTTCCATCCTTACTCTCAGAACAGAAACAGTCCTCCAACTTCATACAGAAAACAGAAGCCTTCAGATGGGCATCCCTCAACTTCCTGCCACCGTATGTCTGCACAAATCCTTTACTCTACCCCATTCTTGACAGTGGAAGGAAGAGAGGCATCCCTTCTTCCACTTGGTCTCTGGATCACCTCTTACTCTCTAATTACCTCCTCATGAGATAACAATTTCAATCTCACTCTCTCTTATTCCCATAGCCATTTACATATACTCAAGTGTCTCTCAATGTGTATGTATACTCTGTTAACTCCTCAGCTCCCTCCAGGGAACTACCATCTCTCTATGTCACCATTCACATTTACACTTCTGCAAGAATTATCCATACTGACTGTCTCGACCTCCCCACTTCTGATTCACTTTCAAACCTGGTGCACCACCTCCACCATATCTAAAACCTCAATGAAGTTACTAAGGAACTCCTTGTTGCTAAATCCAATGGGAAGTTTCTCCAGCTTTCTCCTGATGTTCCCTAATAGAAGATCCCTCCTTCTTTCTTCCCTCAAAACATGTGGCACAATAACCTCTTGGGATTTTCCTTCTCCCCCACTGGCCATTTCTTTGCAGTCCTCTTTGTAGGTGCTTTTTCCTCTGTCCTAAGTCCCCTTCTGTTTTTCACTCAGTACTCTCCTTGAGCCTTCTCTTCCTCTCCATGGCTGTAAGCAGCATCTATATGCTCAAAAACTCAAACCAAACCCACTGCCAATGAGTCGATTCTGACTCTTAGCAACTCCCATTGAGTTTCTGAGGCAGTAAATCTTTACAGAAGTAGACTTCCCCATCTTCCTTCCACAGAGTGGCTGGTAGGTTTGAACTGCCAGCCTTCTGGTTAGCAATCAAATGCGTTAGTCACTGCACCACCAGAGCTTCTTATCTACATGCTGGTGATTCCTAAATACTCTTTGTATCTTTCTCCTGAACACCACAGCTCTATGTCCAATTCTGATGAGCAAGTCCACTGTCCACCTAGATAGCCCAAGCCAAACACCAGAGTGTTTTCCTTGACCTCCCCTCACCCCCTACATCAAAGCAATCACTAAGGCCTATCAATTTCACTTCCTAAATATTTCTCAATTCTCTCTGTTTATCTCCATTACTACTTTGCTAGTTCAGGCCACCATGTTGCTGGTTTTGATTACTGCAACTCAACAGGTCTCTCTCCAGTCAGTCTCACAACACCCCCAATCCAGGCAGAATAATCTTCCTAAATGAAAATCTGACCATGTCATCCCCTTCCCCAAAACCATTCAATGGCTCCTCACTGACCTCTGAATTCTTTAACTTGACTTAAAAAGCCTCTCACAGTCTACCTCCTGCTTCTCTCTCCAGCCTAACACTTCACCATAGTTCTTCCCTGAACTCTAGGTTTTAGTCATCCTGAAGTATTTTCGGGTCCTGAATGCACCATGCTTTCTCCAGGCCTCCACACCTATTGTTCCTTTTGACTAGAATCCTCTTCCTAGAGTAAGCTCTACTTACTCTATTGGACTCATCTTTCTCAGAAATCACTTCTTCAAGCAAACCTTCTCTGCAACCACTGCCCCCTACCCAACATGCTGTTCTCATAGTACCCCATTCTTCCACTGTCACGTGACTAAAAATATATGACAGTGGACTGGTCCATTCACTTTTCCTCAGGGTTCCCTGAAAGTCTAGAAATAGAGATCATATTATTTTATGTTTTTACAGATTGTAGACAACTATGATGCAAGGAGGGGTCACTATGAGTCGGGTCCAACTCGACAGCACATAACAACAACAACATGTTTCCAGACTTTACAGACACCCTGTATATCCCTCATTAGACTGTCATTTCCGTCAGGAGAAGTTTCACATTAACTGTCGGTTTCATGGTCATATCATCAATACACATGGGAACTGAAATAATACTGAACTGTAATTCACTCTGTTGATAACAGATAGTTATACATAAACTATGTGATGAAAAGATAGAGTTGAATGACATTACAGGATTTTCCCACCGAGATACAGTATTTAGCAAAAGCAGCAAAACAATCCTGTCATCTGTCTTCTATCACAGCATTCATTTAATGCTGGCATTCAAGCTAATAAACCACATACGTCTGTGAACTTTTGTTTGGACAAAGCAGTCGCAGTCTTTTAGTACCTTTGTACCAAAAAAAGAATAAAGGTAGAATACAAAAACCAAACCAAACTCACTGCCATCGAGTCAGATCCAACTCATAACGACCCCTCCTTGGGTTTCCAAGGCGGTTGTTGTTGTTGTGTTGTTATGTGCCGTTGAGTCAGCCCTGACTCACAGCGACCCCTCCTTGGGTGTCCGAGGCAGTATCACTACGGAAGTAGGATTGCCCA